AACTGCAAATTGTTCATTTTATCTCTGTGGAGCAAACAAGCATTAGTCTAACACAAGCTAGGTAGCACAGCCCAGAGTTAATCCTCACCTGAAGTGGCATAACTTTATCAGAGGGCACTTAGCACAAGTTAGCATGCTTTAATTTGTGGACAGTCCTATTTTAAATACCTTTTGTATAGTCTAAGCGTAACATGCAACTTCAACCTTAGCATTTGTGGAGTTGGAGACTACAATTTCAAAACGTCACTCAGCTTTTTCTGTTATTGTTCCTTTAGTTGCATCGCTGTAAAGCAGGGTCAGATCCTGCAAGGATGGGAGGGGGCTGGTTTGTTCGCATCTTCCTTTTGCTGTTTATATGCATAACGAACTCTCTGAGTTCTTGGCTGGTCAGTGCTCATCAGCTGGTCAGTGAAGGCTTGTATGGGACTCTGGAGCCCTGGGAGTAAGCACCACTGCCCTTCAACCCTCCTTTTCCCCTGTTCCTGAATATGGCGTTGGTAAACATATGGGAGGGAAAAGGAAACAAAGGATGGTGGCAATCCCCGCCACCCCGCTGGGCTCCAGAGCTGTGCAAAAGCAATGGCTCCAGCTAGACCCTCCTCTGACCAGCTGAGCTTAGAGATGAGGTCAGAGAACTGCCTGCAAGGCAATGCTCAGGCAGGAGCGCACACTGATCAGCTGTGATATGCACTGCACAGCCAAAGAGGGTGTAAATGCACCTCCTCACTCCTCTCCTAGATTGGCACATGCTGTAAAAGTGATGCAAGTTAGCTGTAGCGTTTAAATTGTTCACTTAAAAATATTTCTATTTTTGTCCATAAATAAGATTCCATTAAGAAAGAAAAAAAAAGAGGGAGAAAAAAAAGAAACCCAAATGCACACCACCTCCCCCCTCCCCGCCCCACACAACTACATTAAAACAATATTAAGGCAAAGATTCTTAAGTTAGATAAGAACTAAAGTTGTTAGATAAGAATTAAGGTTGTGCAGCATTCTCTGCACAACCTTAATTCACCACAGTTCAGCACACATTGCATTGGCATGGTATGCTATTTTTTCCACAGGATCCCTGCCTCATTCAGTGCAAGAGATGAACAGTGCTCACTGCATAATTAGTTATTTAATATTTCTTCTTGGCCTCATCATTTTAGTTCATTATTTATTTTACTCTATTCAAATCTGCTCTGAAAACAGAATTATTCAGAAAAATTCAGAAACCTGAATTTCTTCAGGTCTTATCTTAACGCTCATCACTGTTGTACTGGAGTGCTTACAAACACTAATTAATTTATTTTTACAACATCCCTGCAAAGTACAATATGGTATTATTATCCCCATTTAATAAATTGGCCATTGAGGTACACCTGGATCAATGTCAAGAGTTGGCTGCTCCATTTAGGTTGACTAGGGGCTGATTTTTTTTTAATATTCAGCATTTGTAGCAGTTTATTTGTTCCAAGTAAATCTTCCATTGTCCCATGGAGACAAGTGCTATAACCATGAGACTATCCAGTTTCTCCCTGCAGTCCTCTGCCTCATTCGCTATACATCTTCTGTTCGGCAACAAGTGAGGCAAGATCTCTACAGACAACCTATAGAGATCAAATAGCTTTTAAAAGTCCTTTAAGAAAAAACATGTTTTTCCTGTCTGCACAAGCTGGCACTTGAAAGGGCAGATGGGCTGTGGAGCCTCTTGAGCATGAGAGCAACCACATGTATTTTGAAAGGTGTAAAGATCTGTTATTCCTTTCACACACACATAGTATGAAGTATGGGCCATATGTGCAAAATCAGAAGGATATGTTTACAACATTGCTACTAAAAAAGGAGCACTGAGTTTCCTTGCACCTAATGCAAAGATCATGGAAAACTAAAGATGTCATTCTTTGGATTTGAATGGGCTTTAGATCTTGCCCCTCGAGCACACAAGGCCTTAAGTCTTTATCTTTTTCAGTAAATATATTATGTTGCTAATTTAAGTAACAGCTATTAATGCCTGTCATTTATGAGACTTTATCAATTATTCATGTATTATGTAAATAGTGTTTGTACATGTAACGGAATTGATGAGTTTACTTAAATTCCACATACTGGAGGTTTAATAGCCAATAACTTGATGCTGAGAAGTGCTAAGCTCCAGCAAGCCCACTGAAATGAAGGAAAATTGAGGGTACCCAACAATTCTCAAGAAAAATTCCCAAAAGTCTAGTACTTCTGAAACACTTAGTCCTTGTTACTGGAAAGATTTTCCTCTTCAATATACTTTTTCCCTAGATTTAATAAATGAATCTTTTCAGAGAAGGCTACTGAACTTTGGGCCTCTCTCTCAACATCAAGAAGACTAAAGTGCTCTATCAGTCTGACCCAGGCCATGAATGTGACCCCTGCCCCCAAATTACTATTGAGGGAAAGACCCTGGAGGTAGTTGAACACTTCCCTAACCTCGGTAGCCACCACTCTAAGAGAGTGAATGTTGATGAGGAGATCCAGCACAGGATCCAGAGCGCAAGTGCCTCCTTTGGGAAATTGCTTTGGCATGTCTTCATTCATCACAATCTCTAGAAAGACACCAAAATCCAGATCTACAATGTAGTCAACATCCCCACTCTCTTCTATAGATGTGAAATGTGGGTGACCTAACATTATCATCTCAAGCACCTGGAAAGGTATCACCAATCATGCCTCTAGAAAATCCTCGAGAAAATGGATGCCGACATCAAGAGCTGGGAGGAGTTGGCTGTTGACCAATTCCAGTGGTGCTGCAAACTCAACCAAGCAGCAGTCCATCTTGAGGTAAAGCATCTTGCCCATTGGTGACGCGTAAGGGGTGCACACAGGTGCACGTGCACCCCCTGGAAGCACCAGTCACAAAACTAGAAGTGCTGACAGAAGTTGATTGGCTGCTGGGCCCCCCCGGCCAGTTGGCAATCCGCTGCTGGGGGACCACCCCCATCAGCAATCTGGTGCCCCCCAGACTTGGGAAGTACCAGTCACCCATGATCTTGCCCTCAAGGCAGAGAAGAGAGAACAGAAAAGGAGAGAAATCCTAGCCTATGGTCTACTCTTCCCTGCAGACCTGCAACTTCTTCAGAGATTTGACTCTTAAGTCACCTCAAAACCCAACAATGAGCCATGGTAGAGATCATTCTCGAATGAAGGGATTGCCAATAATCCCTTTCCCGAAGTTTAATAAATGAATGCAGATATGGGAATATGTCACCAATGATTCAACGTACTTTACTTAAAGGTATTTCTCTGGTGGCCATCATCATACTATCTGTGTTTAAAAAATGTTTAGCAGCTCTCAGTAAGAAAAGCTAGTTTTAGATTCTTAAGTTATTTGGCTTAGTCCTAAAGCTAACTAAAAAGTAATGTAACATTTTTTCTTCAATCATCAGAAATACTGAGCTAAAAATAAAGTGTTTTATTAAATACATGTATTTAATATATATTAACAGTAATAGAACTTAGCTGGAACACAGTCCAGTGGAAAGACTCCTATTGAGTTCAATCGGTACTGGCTTATGTCTATAGCATACTACACCTGTAGATTTACAAGCAGTTTACAAGGGTGGATAAGCATAATTACTAGTATTTTACATATTAGGAAAATGAGGCACAAAAATGGAATGACTACCTCAGGTCACACAGTGAACAAGTAGCATAGCAGGGAAGGGAAATCAGGTGTCCTGAATAGCAGTTCCATGATCCATGCAATGGACTATGCTGCCTCTTATTGTTACAGTTCCCATGCCTAATAAATTATGCTGTTTATCCAGTAGGTACTAGTTTGGGGTGTATTAAAGAATCCATTAGTAAAAAAAAAAAAGAGAAGGGGTTTAAAACTTACAATAGATATGTTTAAACGTCTCACATATAGAAAGTGTCTACTTTATAACCTGCATTTTTAAAAGCCACTATACAGTGACAGCCTGTACCTTTGTAATGTGCTGAAAAAGTAATAATTGAAAACCTCTGAAGGGGTTATGTCACGTTTTTAATGTATTCCTGTTCAATGTTCTGAGCAGAAGTTTTGTTGTTGCTAAGAGTAGGGGATAGATTGAGCTGATTACATACTGTGTTATAAATAAGTGTAATTCCCTGAGAAATGATTCTTCTTTTGGTAATGGGAAAATAAACAAAGGAAAGGGCAGGTTTAAGGCAAGTGTTGAGCCTTAACTATTTCCAGGCACTCTGACATTTATGCTGTGAACTGTACTGTTCTAACTCTCAAATGTTTGCTTCATAAGTACTTGTTAATTCCAAGTTTCATGATTTTGATAAAAAAAAAAAAAAGTGATCTTCCTTGCTGTGTACCCTTCCCTCGTCCTGCAGGTATATTCATTATTAGCAACATTCTTTGGTCTGGCTGAGGTGCAATTGATGCAGAACTGTGGATAGAAACAAATATGACTTTAAGCCCTGTTTGCAGTCAGTAATCCTGGAGCTGGCAGGTACCAAATTGGTTCCAGTATAAATCAGAGCATACTGAAAGCTGCTCTATCTTTTACCCATCTGCCCAGGGCCCCCTAGGATCATCCATCAGCTGTGATCTACACGTTCTCAGAAGATTTCCTAGAGAGGGACCTTTCAGGCAGCCAACTGGATTGTCTTTCCAGATGCTTTGCAACACTGAAACTACGGTAAGAAATAACATATTCTAGCAAAATGTCTACAGTATAGTCAAGGCCTAACTGCTGCTAAAGCTACTTTTATACTGAGTAACTTGTGCTATCTGAGTGGCACAGATCTTGGTGCAAGCTGCAAAACCTGCTTGAGAAACTAGGTAAATACTCTGGTGGTGTAGACAACTAAGCTCCATGCTGTCACAGCTCATTTACTATCAGTAGCCAAAACAGCTAACTGCTAGCATGGGTATTTCTATGGAAACTGCAGTTAGATTTGGGACTGCACTGCATACATCCCCTTAGGCACCTTTTCAACTCAGGAGGCCACTTTTTAACTTTAGCTCTGGAGATCAGCTACCATAGATACTATACTGGCTATCAGGTATGTTTTAGCATCTTTATCAAGACTATTCCTGTCACTTTGACTGTCATTAATCTTATTATCCATATAGGCACCAGGATACATATCACAGTTTGTAAAGTATGTAGCAATGTCTGTATCAACTACAATGTGTGAAAATTTTATTCTTAAAATTGTAATTGTACTTTTCATTAAATATCTTGTGGCTTTCTTGAATCCTTTTTTCTTATTCAGAGTTTTAGGGTTTTTTTTTAGGTAAGTGGTAACTTTCTATTGATGATAGCAATGAGTAATAATTAGAACAAGAAGAGTTTATACAGCAGCCTTTCATCCAAGAATCTCAAAGGACTTTGCAAAGTACAAGCATGCTTTGCTAAGGGATGTTAATAATCATTTCATTTGCTGTAGTAATGCAGCCTACTGTGTTGGAGGACAGAACATAGCAACTGCAGAGTGACACAAACCTAGACTAGACAACCAGTAAGGACAGGTAATGAAATAAAATTCTTCATCAGAAAACTAATATTGGGTATTATAGGGTGTGTACAAGCATTACATTTCTACCAGTGGAATCACAGTTCCACTGGCAGAAACCCTAACAGTAGAAGCATTGTCTACCTGACAAAAAACAGCAGGCCCAATAGAAACTTCTCTTACTCTCACCAAGGTAGAAGTGACCTCTGGTAAAGTTGAATGCTTGTGCACTTGCATCTCTGACAGAAGCCTCCACAGTGCCCTCTAGCATCCCAGCATGTATTGTTTGCCATTCCTCCCTCCTCCAGAGAGGCAGTCTGTGACTTGGATGAATTCCACTGTTCCCCCTCCCCATCAGTTTTGAGGCTGGGAAACCCAAGTCTATCCTTACAGCCCTGGGGCTGTGCAGCTGACCACCCCCTCAGCTGACAGCCCAGAGCAGGTAGGAGAAACCCACCCCTCAGCATTGGACCCAACCCACTAGCACTTCCTACCCCTTCCATTCCCAGATGTACCCCCTCCCCCCGCAACCAATGCCCTTCTCAACAGACACAGCCCAGCTTGGCTTGACCCATGCCTGCTGTTTCTGGAACCCTCTGACCAACCCATCCCTAGACCTGGACCCTACCAGAAAGGCTGATCCATGTCAGGTGTTAGGGCATGGGAAGCATGTCTATGCTCTTTGACTATGGGACAGAGTGGGAACCTGGATCTGCCAGACTCCCCTTACCACCCCAGTACCCAAATAACATAGACATGGCCCCCAGAGAAATGAGCCCATCAATCCCCCCACCAACATGGATTGGACAAATCTTTGCTGAGTGCCATCAGACTTATGACCCACAGCAGCACCCAAACCACCAGCCTCACCCCACCAGCACCTGACCTCAAACAGATGCATCTAACCAGGGGTAGGCAAAATGCGGCCTGCAGGTCAGATGCACCAGGCCATTCTATCTGGCCTGAAGGGCCCCTAAAAAATTTAGAAAATTAATATTTATCTGCCCCTAGCTACCTATCATGCGGCCCTCGATGGCTTGCCAAAACTCAGTAAGCGGCCCTCTGCCTGAAATAATTGCCTGGCCCTGAACCTGTGCTGGAACTGCATCTATCAGCTACTGCCAGAGGAGTAACGATCTATTGTGGGCTGCTGAAAGAGAAATTTTCAAGCTTGAAGAGACAGAAGACATGCGCTAGGTCTGATGTCTCAAAACCTGACAGCGGGAAGGGAGGAAGGGAGAGGGTTGTGTGAGGGGGCGTAGTCCCTGGGGCAGCCAGCCAATCAGCCCTGACCTATGCCCTTGGTTGCTGTCAGCCGTCTCCAGGCAGACAGGGGAGCCTGCAAAGTATGCTGGGATGCGGGTTCTTGGGCCTCTTGACTGGATGCTATCAGTAGCACAGGCTGTCTGCAAAGCACCCATTTGGGCACTGTAATGATTGTACACTGCTCTACCAATAGAGTTTCCAGCCACTCAAACCAAACTGCTAAACCTCCACTGGTTCATCTGAATATTTCAAAGTAAGTACCCAGGTTGGTGCTTAGTTAGGACACTCCCCTTTTTTTTTCTTCCCTTTTTCTTCTTTTTCTTTAAAATCACTGTATTGTTTTTAATGACCAAAAAGTGTTTAGGAAATTGATTTGGTCTCACCAAAAAATAGCACCCCCAGTCCATAGGACTCAGCAAAAAGAGCGATACACTGGGACCATATGACATATAGCAACCCTTTGGCGCTTGAGTTTCCAATGATTCCTGCCTAAAGCAATGTAACTGAGGGTGGAAATGAGAAAAAAATAGAGGTTATACTATTTTACTACAAAGAGGACAGTTGCTGAATTTGGATCAGATTCAACCATTACTTAGAATATCATAAATTCTATATTTACATGCTTATTCATTACATATGCTATGACTACTGTAGAATATTCAAGCCCTGAAATCTGTACATAAATAGTATAAAAACACTGTACTCTGCCTCAAACCCTTTTGATTTCTCTATTATGACTTTCCTTAGTGCCTTTACTCTCAGTGGATTTTAAGTGGCATGAACATGATATATTCTCTGCCTGTCTTTTCTCTTTTGCTTGTGGTGTATTTTCTTATGTGCTTTAGCAAAATCATCTAGTTCTAATGCAGAAACATATTTTGTTCCCTCACTTGCCCCGATTTGTCCACTTTGGGCTAATGTTAGTAAACATCCGTTAAAGACAATCACTTTTAATCTTGTCAGGGGTGTCTGTGTTGGGAGGATGAAAATTAGTTATTAGCTTAGCTTTTCATCCATGCATAATAGATGCTAAAATCAGAGATGTTTGCTTGGGGCCATGGGAAGCATCCTACTCTTAGCCTACAAGTTCTGAATATATAAGATGTGATAGATTTTAAAATAAGCAAACAGAAGGCAAATTCCTTTTAAAACAAAACATCTGCTTCCTAGACATTGTCTATTCTGTGTGTAAGGGAGTCAAAGCACCCCCTCACCAGAGAACAGACTGACTCTGTAGGGCTTTTTTTTCTTCTTCTTTTTGTTATTGTGGTTAATAATAATAATAATAATAATAATACAATAACCCTGTAGTAGAGTCTTCCTATTGCAAGGATTTCCCACTCCCTTCCCCAAACAGGAATGTTATTTTTGACTCTGCCCCATGAAGTCCTCAGAGAAGGCCAAGAGCACCTTGCAGGGTTAAGTCTTGTAAACAGACAATAACTGTTACCAGGAGAGGGCCCATCTAACAAAAATAAATAAATAAGAAAATCCTTAGAGTAGTGGTAGTCATTAATAGGGTACAGGGCTCTCATTCACCTCCTGCTGGAGTTACTTGAGAACATGTCATTTGGAGGGCCACCACTTCACTTCCTGTTGGGAGCAACTGTGGGAAGACTGGGAGCCAGGAATTTTTGGCAACTTCTCTTTTCCTCCCCCCTCTTCTTCTGCTTTGGTTAAATCAGCCAGAGCAAAGGAGGTGGTAGTCTCCTTGGGGACATCTATTTTAGGATCTTTGTAATTGTCAATGAAAGGGATCAGTAGGTTTAGACACTTTCAGAAAAGCCTTTTAGTTTCCCAGCCTTTTCCTCTGTCATGCAGGTGCAAGGCACATGACATCTAAACCTGGCTACTGTACAAGTGCAGGAAAGCAGAATGGCTCTAAGAAAAAAAAATTATGCAGAGTTTTGCACCAGTGCACTGGTTGACAAGACTGAGTATTTGGATTGCCTACCAAGTGTTGATGAAAAGTCCCACAGATTCTTAATTCAGAGACTCCAATTTTTTCTCTGTTCCTGTGTTCATTTTCTTTATCAGCAGGGGATGACTTAGACTTTCAAAACTGATTAACATTTTTAAACTGTGGGATTACTTGGTATGGCATTTCAAATTATTTTAACCCTGTAGGGGCTGCTCCTTTCTGCAGCTCCTCTTTAGTTTTGTATACAGGTTTCACTAGAGCAGCAGCACTTCAGAAAAGGTTTTCTTCACATATGGGATTGCCTTGGAGGTACATTTGTTTTATTCACAAGGTGTTAGACATATCAGTTAATTCAATTAACACTTTTGAACAAAAGATGGAATATCATTGCAGTGCCTCACCGTAAAAAGCAGAACATACTTTTCCAACATGTTTTCTAGCTTTCTTTTCCTCCCTGCACCTTTACATAGGCCTGTACATGAATTTAAGTAAGAGCAAGGGAGTGAACCTCTGCTTCCTGAGGAAGCATCTTCTAACCATGTGCTGCACAGTAAACAGTTTAGAATAATTTTTAGCATGATGGAGGAGCCATAGACACTCAAAAATATGTACAGAACACAAAGGCATTTTTCTATCCCCATAAATCTTTAATGTGTAGAGGCAGTAGACATACAATCAACTTCCACTTTCAAGCACCAAATGGGTTCTCTTTAGTCCACTTAGAAGTGCTGCCACCCGTAGATTCTAGAGATCATTCTCTGTTCAAAACCTAGCCGTGGTGGCACAGTGTGCCAAACTGTACAAATGCAGGAAAGCTGAATGAACCTTCAGATGAATTAGAACAACTTACGTTTGGGAGGACAGAATTTGACCCATCGCATCAATGTAGAAGGTCATCAATCTAAGCATGCAATAGGGGATTCTACTGATTTGTTTGAGGACCTGCCGAACAGTGGTACAAAATACAAAAAAGTCCACGTTATTTGTTTTCTTTTTATTTATTTGTTAAATCAAACAGCAACCAAGCTTTATTCTCTGTAAATCTTGTTATGTATCTATATAGAACAAAGAAAACATTTAGGAAATCATAGACCTGTGATGTTCTTGGGCCAGGGTGTACCTTCAGGTGACAAAAAAGGAAAAAGGCAACAAAAGCAACAAAGGAAGAAGGCACAAAGGAAGATCTGGGGTGCTGTGGAGGGACTGATTTGGTCAGCAGGGGAGAAGGTGCATGGGTGGGTCTGCTTACACTAAGGTGTAGCCTAGAGTGGCAGCTACACCTTAGTTTAACAGGAGCTGGGTAACATGGATCAGAGATAATCCTGCCCTGGAGTACCATAACTTTGAACTATCTAATGAGTGCTTAAAACTAATTTCAGGTGCTAATGTGCAGCCAATCCAGGTGTTAAGAGCTCCAGGAGCCGCCCAAAATTACCACGTAGCAAGGCCCTTAGTTGTCTGTGCAAAGCATTTTTCATTTGT